ATCTCTCAAGAGCATAAAGTCCAATCAGTTGACCAATCAAGCATACATAGGTCGTGTCACACACACTGATTAATCCCTTGTACTACCATGTCCAGGGGCTGTAATACCTTGACATCTTCGGTGTTTAAATGTCGTTATTTTCAACTCGGTGTCTTTTTTACCCTGAAGGGAAGTTATGATTAACGCATTTAACAAATGCCCTTTTCATTTTTTTTGTTTTTGCATTTTTCATACAAATCATTAATTAAACAAGATACAGTTTCGAAATCAAAATCAAACTCGTAACCTCCCAGTCTAAATTTAGGGATATATGCCTGCTTTAATAATCTAATCCGGCGGCCATATTGGATAGCGAAACAGATTAAACAGTGTTAAAGTTTTCTAAAAACAAATCAGTTTAACCCTGAAATAAGCTGTTGTTCACAAAATGCAACTATTCTATTGATCGCATATTGATATTGCAACGATAAAAAATAACTTTTAACCTACCTTGTTTTGCAATATTCTGAATTTTATTTACTATCCATTTCCAATCCCATTTTTTCCTTTTTCATTTCGCCCGCGCTATTTCTGATTGGTTGATAGGATTCACGTGATACAAAACCAACGCTTTAAACTCATTGGCTGTTTTGAAACGCGTGATATGCCTAGATACCGTTTGTAGCATTAATAATGCCACTGATTTATATTAAGGTCGGTGATAATGCGGAAGAAAGCAGCATACTAAGATCTTTATCCGATACAAAATAATGCAATATTACATGTATTAAATTGGAAATATCATGTATCCATAAACGATAACTTTGCATACATGTATAACATAACCATTCATACTTTTTCATAGGCAAAACTTTGATTCTAATGCTCAATCGGTTATGCATATTTTTGATAATAATTATAATAATAATAATATTAATAATAAATAATAATAATAATAATACTTATGATGATGATGATGGTGATGATAATAGTGATAAAAAATAATAATATAATGAGATGATGATGATGATGATGATGATAATGATGATAATAATAATAATAAATAATAATAATAATAATAAAAGACGTTTTAGAAGCGCTGAGAAATATTTATAAATTACACAAATTTCCTCCCCCCCCCCCCAGTCCATCAAACAAAAGCCTCCCTAAGGTTTATAGACCAGACTGATTACTATCTATTTTTGCACGCCCAGTGTTCGGGAACTTGGGTTAAACTTCAAATAAATCTAGACAAGTATGCGCCTTTCACTTTTATTTTCTTGATAAGCTTTGGAAAGGGATTCTCTGAAAATATTCATTTACATTTGTACTGCACAATATATAATAAAGTAAACATAAAAACATTCATATCATCAATGAATTATAAGTACGACTTACGCAATAAATCAAATTAGAACTTTTGTAGTACCTTTAAATTTAAATCTTAATGTAAATTATCTTTAAAAACAATTGCATTTATTTGTTAAAATACATCAAGTTCCAGATTTAAACTGACGAGATTCTCAATAACAACTGTTTGATGTTGATGAACTGGGGGGGGGGGGGTTGAGGGGGGGGGGGGGCTTTTGTTTAACGTGTAAATTTCATGGGGGGGGGCTTTTTGTCCACCTTGTCATTTTTAGATGGGAGGGGGGCTTTAGTCCGTGTCACCATTAAAATAAATAAATTACTTACTTACTTACTTATACACATAAATGAAGTATAAAGATCCTTTCACATTATCTGCGGATTTCATAATTATGATATAACTTTATTAGTATAAGAATATTTGGAGCATCGGTAAAAATTCGAAAGTCCAATTTAAAAAGTGATTTTACTATCAATATATAATTTAGTATGTTCTTAACTTGAGCTTTGAAATCAAACTACGACAATTTTTATTTTTTTAAACAGAAATTTACTTTTACAAAAACTGTTTCCAAGATACATAATTTTATTTTAACCAGGTAACAAATGTTAATTTACATAGCACGGCCATGTTCCCCTGTCCTGAACAATATTCAAGTCACCGAATTATGCAGAAACACGGCTGATGAGAGACGAGAAAACTCGGGAGATAAAAACTGAAACTGAAACTGTTCTATTTAATTAAACGCCTATTTCTATATACATATTCAATGGCGTTGTACAAAAGGATAATAAAAGTATGTACATATAGATAAAAAAAACAACACATATGCATGGCAAATGAACTACAAAAAATATTTTAAAGATATCAGCCGTGTAAAATATAGTATTAAAAACTTTAAAAAAAGAAAGAATAGTTATAAAAAATAACAATAAAAAATAATTTAAAAGAAAATAAAAATGAATGGTTATTTCAGTAAAATTTCAAACACATTTCCACATCTCTATCAGTTAACAGCCCAATCACAATCTTAAAACAATGCGTAAAAATCTCTAAAATAGTAGGTTTTGACATTTTTCTTGAACATGTCCAAAGTCGAAGACTGTCTTATATACAGAGGCAATTTATTCCAGAGAGTTGGACCAACGGTACTAAAACTTCTGTCGTTAAATGTTTTCCTTTTGTTAAAGGGGACAGCAAAACAATAATCCATATTATCAACAGATCTGAGATTTGGTCTTTTTATGACAGGCTTGTTTAACAGTTCTCTTAGATAAACCGGAGCATTGCCCATAAAACAGTTATACATTGTACATAGTATTTTAAAATTGATCCTAGCTTTAATTGGTAACCAATGCAGTTCCAACAAAGAGTCTTTGGAACTATCATATTTTCCGCGTTGCAAAACAAGTTTAGCGCACATATTCTGGATACGCTGTAATTTCTGTAACTCACTTTCTGAAATGCCAAACAATATAGCGTTGCAATAATCCAAATGTGAGATTACAAGCGACAATACTAGGATTTTTGTGGCGTCCTGAGTCAGATATTGGCGAATGCTCTTTATTCAGATGATGATGATATTTTTCAAGAAATGCTACTTCGAATAATTTGACATCATCTATCAACAATACATGTACATACACCCCAGTGACATCCATCTGATTCTAGCTTGTGAACTTAGATATAATTGGACCTGGCGGCAGGGTACTTCAAAGTTTACTTTAAGATAAATCTTAATTGTGTCTTGTTTAAATGACGAATTCCGCCAAATTAAAGGATAACAACAACACGACGCTGCAAAAGCATTGGAAAGAATACAGCAGCTATGTCTGTTTCATTTTAATATGTCGGGTTAGAGTCTTTATAATATCTAGAACAAAATCACATAGGATTACAATTTAATTCCCTTATTTCGTACATGAATTATATTAGAAATTGACAGTAAAAAATACCGTTAAGACATTCAACACCAATTGCGCTAACTTACCTAATCGGAGAAAACCGACACTCGATATACCCTGCTGCGTTTATGATCAATATCCGGATCAATATCCGGCTTAATCAGTATTGTCTTCGATTATGGCAATACAGCACGTGGCTATTACACAATATTATGTCATAAATGAGACCGCGCGAAAAGAAATCAAAATTGGGGAATTCGGAACTTCATAAGATTTCTATTCAAAACTTGTGTACAGAAACGCAAATCTTTGTTTCCTGAAATAAAAGATTAAATAAATAAATAATAAATGAATAAATGAATATGAATAAATGAATAAATAAATGAATGAATGATTGGTTGATTGATTCAATGAATGAATGAATGAATGAATGAGATATCATTGTTGTTTTTTTTTACATATGCAAGTACATGTATTATATTATGTATAGCCTATTTTTATAGGACATATATCAACGTAAAATTTAATTGCTGTGTGGACAATCCCGATTTCATCTTCGTGATTTCACAATTATTTTAACTTTCACGATTTCAACTTCACAGATTCACGATTTTATTATAATTAATTCATGTTTTGAACATCACAATTTCAACTTTATCATTTTCTCATGTTTGGCTTATCATTATAAAATATTATAATGATAATGAAAAGGAAATTACAAAATAACATGATTCACCATAGATGCAAAATGCAAAACAGTACTATCTAATCGTCAATCGCAATTGTAAAGTATTCGCTATTTATCTGCGGGTGTATGCTAAAAAGCAAACCAAGCGGTATTGAGCTAGAATACCGCGTCTGCATGTTACAGGTGGATGTCTTACACGTTCTGTGCACTGACGATATTATTTGTACGCAATTGACGCGTTAATAACTCCAGGAAATTTTGCATTGTGTTAATTGTCAAATGTCTGACAAATATATGATCAGACTATTTCTTTACTCTTACAGGAAATAGGCTATTCAGAAGTAAATTTTCATTCGCTATTTCTATATACAGAATCCGTATTTGCACGAATACGGAATTTCGTATTTTAGTAATATACGGACTTGTTATAAAAATTCCGTATATTAGTAAAATACGGACTTCGTACATCAAAGTTCCCGTATATTACGAGTGTACGGAGTTCGTATATTAGTCATATACGGACTGATATAATATACGGTCCCGTACATCTCCGTATTTCAAGTTTCCCGTATTCTTACACGTATATTAATGATATACGGAATTCCGTACACTTCCGTATATCCATGTCTTTTTCGCAGTGATATTCATAACAATTCATTACTTCCTAACAGGTGCCCGTAAAATTTGAATATATCCGGTCAAGTAGCTTTGCATAACCACGTCTAAAATAAAAATTTCTCTCCAATTTATTCACGAAATTGTGCGGACTTATTCGCGCAAACAAATATTCGCGCTTTGTGGCCATCCGCGAATAAAGCGAATATTAATAGGTCGCGAATATTCGTTGGGTTACAGTAATTGGGCACCAACACAGTTAGGAATATTTCCAACTACCAAGGTTGAGCAGAGGTTATACCTTCAGAAGGGTGTGGCCTATTCCAGAGGGAATTGGGGTTGGGAAGGTAAAATTTAAAAGTCTAAGTACCTGCTATTTCTCATTTGACTAGCCCATTAAGACATACTGACAATATGTGAAGGCTGTAAAACACCGAATACTCACCTGAGCTTGTATATTCATTGTCATTTGGTCTAGGTGGCATTGGAGCTACCTGAAATTGATAAGTTTACATAAATATAAAAAATGGCCGAATATTCAAATTGTAATAAAAAGCTTGTGTTTTAAAAGAAACTTTTGTTTTTAAAATTATTTTCTTATTTTTTTCATTTTTTACAATCTACTTAAATGGGCATATTATGCTTATTGTGCAAAATTATATTGTTACTACAGGTGACTGTTTGTTTATCAATTATCATAGATTGTCCAATTAGGGAGATTACAAAGTATAGCATGTAGCATCGAGAGTAGAACAAAAGCCCTCCCGGACAAAAGCTCTCAATCTCAAAATATATATTGGACCAGAACACTCCAATGAAATTTGCAGGTAGTTAAAAAGCCCTCCCAAATATTTAGCAGGTAGGAAAATCCCTCCTCCCCTCCCCTTCCATAATTTATTAGTTGTTAAAATTGTTAATACTAAATACAGCAATGCAAATTTAATATATTTATTCACATTATTGTACATGTACTAATAAAATTATACTATTTACTAGAACTATCACTAAATGTGATTAATACCCTCGCAAGACTGTTTCGGAAATGAGGAAGTAACAAGTAACAGAATACCTTGTAAAAGAATTGAGTAATAGTTGTGGGCAATAAAAGATAGTTGTGGTTCTTTTATGTTGAATTTCATTTCAATGATGAAGTTTTATTGAATTACACTGTAACTAGAAATGTGTCCATAGGACACAGGTGCCCCCACACTCTACTGATTTGTCAATCTTATGTCCTTAGGTCAAATATTTTTGTGCCCCCACTATAGTGGAGGGGGGTGGGATTTAGATTTACCCTTGTCTGTCCGTCCCTTCTCTTTTTGTGTCGCACGTAGCTCAAAAAGTAAATGACCTAGAGTCATGAAACCGTACAGGAATGCTGATCAGCATGTGTTGTTGTGCACCTGGGTATTTTCGTGTGGATATTTTTAGTATTTTTAGAGTTATTGCCCTTGACTAAGTAAAAATTTGCAATTTTTAACTTGTGTCGCACATAACTCAAAAAATATTTGACCTAGTCATGAAACCTTACAAAAATGTTGATCAGCATGTGTAGTTATGCACCTGGGTTTTTTTGTGTGGATATAATTAGCATTTTTAGAGTTATTGCCCTTGACTTAGTAAAAATTTGCAATTTACAACTTGTGTTGCACGTAGCTCAAAAAATATTTGACCTAAAGTTATGAAACCTTACAGAAATGTTGATCAACATGTGTAGTTGTGCACCTGGGTATTTTTGTGTAAGAATTACCAAAGATGAACAATTTTCAATGGCTGTAAACTAGATGTTTTTTTATCTTTTGACTCTGTAAACACCTGATTAGTTAATTATATATGATTTGTAAAAAAAACTTAAAATAAAGTTTCTTTTATCTTGTAACCACCATGGCCCTTCTATAAATATGCAAGGATATTTCTTCTCTAAATCCCTTCCGAAGGATGCAAGTTGACAACAAGAGCACCGCTAGGCGGAGCATTATATGCCCGAAAGTACTTTTTCTTTTAGTAAGGATGAAACATTTGTAAGACATGGGAATTAAATACAGTATTACCTGCTTCAAAAAGCAATCCTCCTTTATAGCTGAAGAACATTCATGTATATATACAGTTGCTGTTTTCAAAGCACTACCATCAAGTTCTTATCTTGTAAGTAAAAATGCTACAACGGATGGACGAAAAGACGTCAGGGGTATAAAGCTGTTAATCCTATAAAATTTTAGAGCTATAGGTTGATTAATGCTAGAGTTATTGAGCAAAACTGGTTTCAGTTTAAAGGTGATAGTAACCTTGATCTTTGACCTTGTGACCCCAAAATCAATAGGGGTCTTCTACCCAACATGGACAATCATCCTATTAAATTTGAAAACTGTGGGCCAAACTGAACTTAAGTTATGCTCCGGAAACCATTTTAAATTTTAGGGTTACACTGACCTTGACCTTTGACCCCAAAATCAATAGGGGTCTTCTACCCAATATGGGCAATCATCCTATGAAGTTTGAATACTGTTGGCCAAATGGAACTTAAGTTATGAAACCAAATTGCTAACGGACGGACGACGAACGAACAGACAGACGCCAGGGGGTATAACATAATATGCCCGAAATTCTTTCAGGCATATAAAAAGGCACAAGGCTGGTCAAGGTCAAGTCACCTAATGTACCAGAGGCAATTGGTCGACCTGTGGGATTGCCCTTACAGATGCCGTTTTTGATAGACATGATGCCTTGGACATTATTGTCAACTCCTGACCCCCATTGTATGAAGAACAGGCTTAGGCAAATTTGTATAATAAGTCTCAGCTAATGTAGGCTCTACAACTGGACTAGCAAGTGCACTATACGGGTTCGTCCCAGCAGCCAGTATAAATAAAAGGACATACAACATTTATGAATTTCTAATCTTTCAAATTAAAATTTCTTTAAGAGGTGAGATAAAGTAGTTGTAAAGTCTCTTGCCTTTGGGGGTGATTGCCTTGCAGCCGTTCCACTAGATTTCACACTGTCCTCACTGTAATATAGGCAAGTAAAATCATGTAACATAATATGTATAACTAATTTTTAACTGAATATTAGTAAAAATTACTTGATAAGATGTTATGCTTTCAATGAGTTCACTTAAGCTTAAGTTTTGTTCCTTCATGTAAAATGCTAAGTTACAAAAGATTACGGTATAAAGTAAAATAAGATGAAATATAATTTTAGCCATATCTACATTTATGAAATAAATTCAACTTTATTAACATTTAACTTACTAGTTTGAGTGTTTCTCTATTGAAAAATTATTTGAATAATTTACCTAATGAAAAAAAGAGAAGAAAAAAAATTGATATCAGGGAAAGTGGTTATGCAGCTGGGGCTAATAAGACCATGACAGGTCTATTGATCAGGCTATTCTATATATTATTATTATATTCTCATATAATAATACAACAGATACTGTAAATGAGTCTCAGTGAAAAACAATCACCTATCTGTTACACAGTGACAATATCCCATGCACATGAAACATCAGGTTCAACAGTGTGTTCCAATATTTATTGAAATGTGCTTTCTCCAATTAAGTATTAGGTACGAGAAACAAAATGTAATGTAATATTTCTTTAGGCCTTATGGAAAATTCTTAAGAAATGATGATGCAATGCCCACAAACAGACAGATACAAAGCACATGACCTCAAATCATTTTTTCAAGATCTCTGAAAAGCAAACAGGTCATTACATTAAGAAATTCAATCTTTTTTTATGCATAACATGTACATACATGTGAACTTTTTTCAATGTTCAAGAGGGAGAATTTACTTCAAAAAGAGGGAGATTTTTTAATTGACAATAGACATAGTAGGAATTTTTGAAATGAAAAAGAGGGAGATTTCTTTATTTTTTTTTAAAACAGCCCTTATTCTAAGAAAAATAGTTAAAAATTTGACAGGAGAAAGAGGGTGTCTCCCGCTCAAATTGGGAGAGTTCACATGTATGCATGTACACATATATAGAAACATTCCAACATGAGTTATTTTCCTTTCATTATTAAACTATAATTTGAAGAAATGCCATGGCCCAGGGCATTTTAGCTATAGTTGCTCCTAATAGGGGCCAATCAAATTAATATGAGCAAACTTGATAAAAGACTACATAAGAATGCTACAGACAAAGTTTGGTGATCATCCATCAATTATTTCAGTAGGAAATGATGTTCAAAGGTTTTTTCTACTTTTAGCTTTAGTGACCCCAAAAATGGGCTAATCCAATAAATATAAGCAAACTTGATAAAAGACTACCCAAGAATGCTACAGACAAAGTTTGGTGATCACCCATCAATTAGTTCTGTTGAAGAAGATGTCTAAAGGTTTTTCTATTTTTAGCCCTAGAGACCCTAAAAGGGGCCAATCAAATTAATATGAGCAAACTTGATAAAAGACTACCCAAGAATGCTACAGACAAAGTTTGGTGATCATCCATCTTTTAGTTCTGTAGTAGAAGATGTTTAAAGGTTTTTCTATTTTTTGCTCTATAATTGACCCCTAAAAGGGGCCAATTGAAATGACATGAGCAAATTTAAGTGTGACTGTGATAAGGTTGCTACAGACCAAACTTTAGGTAAATCTGCCCAGCAGTTTCAGAGAAGAAGACAATTGTTGCCGCATGACGACAGACACCGTAGTATCCCCCTTTGATACTAATAGCTCACCCTGAGCCTTCGGCTCTGTTGAGCTAAAAAGGGGGTGAAAAATCAGCCTAAAAACATGAAACAGATATTAGTGCTATTCAGTGATCATTATTCAGGGTTGTCTCAAAAGTCAGTGACAAATTTTACAGATGGTTCATTTTTAACACCAATAGATACTAGAAATGTGTCATGAGGCCACAGATGCACCCGCATGCAGCCAAAATTTCATATGTTATCATATTTAGTTCCAAATTTGTTTGCACAAATTATTTTTTTCATTTCAAGTTCAAAGCCCTTAAAACTATTCAATGTTAACACAAACCATTTTTATACAAAGTTAAAGGCACTGAAACTATTCAGTGTTAACCTTTTGTAAATTGCATATTGCATATTTGTAGCGAAAATAATGGCTACATACATTTCCACAAAAGTATGAGTGCTGAAACTGAAAATTCAAAATTTTTCCAACATTCAAGAGAGATAACTTTGTCCAAAATCATTGAACTGCGACCAAATTCAAACCTGAACTGCTTATTCCTAAGAGGTATCTATATGTCAAATTTGAGTTGAATGTGTACAACCATTGGGGAGATAATGAATGGAAACTTAATATTTCTGATTTTTTTTTTCAAAGTTCAAGAGGGATAACTCTGTCAGCTATCATCCAACCATGACCAAATTCAAAATTGACCAATGCATTCTTATGACATATTCCTTTTTTTTTTTATTTAAGTTGAATCTATACAACTGTTTGGGAGATAATGAATGGGAACTAAAAATTTCCTTTTTTTCAAAAAGTCAAAGTGGCATAACTCTGCCAAAAATCATTGAACCATGACCAAATTCGTATATGACCTGCCCATTTCTTTGACATATCCATATGTCAAATTTGAGTTTAATGTGTAATACCGTTGAGGAGATAATGAACGGAAACTGAAAATTTTCAGAATTCCTTCCTTCACTAACATCTACACATTAACCCATTACTTCATGAGCATTTTGTGAAAAATGGCTGTTTTCATTGAAAAGTCTCCGGTTACAAGTTCAAATTGCTATAATACTATAAAAACTGCTTCAACACTAATCAAACTTGGCACAAATGTTGGCTGGACCATTGCCCTTGCAACAACATGCTCAGGCTTAAATTTTCTGTTACCATGGCAACGAGGGGACATCTCAAAATTGCCAAAAATCACTATTTTGCGTTGATTTTTTCCATCAAAATTGATTTCAAAGTGCTGCAACTTCTCAATGGATTGAGATAGAGTCAAATGCTTTTCAGCGTTGGTTACACGTTACCTTATGATCAATCTGGGGTCATTTACAGCCTCTCACAAGTCCAAAATTTTCTTGGCGATGAGGGGGACTCCATCCCCCTTCAAACCCCCCCAAATAGAAGGGGGCACATCCCTCTTCTGGCAACCCCCTGATGTATTTTTTGGTTGGGGGGCCGCGCCGAAAAAGAGGTCACTTTTTTTAACAACATTTCTCTAACAAAAACAAGTGTTTGGGGCCTAAATAAGGCATTTTTTCATCATTTGAGACAACAAAAAGGGGGGGGGGGGGTGAAAAAGGCGTGTATATGAAGTAATGGGTTAAGGTTGTTCATCCCTGGAAGTTTAAGCAAAATCTGCCATCCGGTTTAAGAGGAATTGTGTTCACAAAATTTCTACATAGTATATAGTGAAAAATCAACAAAGGGCCATAATTCTGTTAAATTTGGTCGCAGCGAAAATTCCTTCCTGTAATACCATCTACACATTAAGGTTGTTCATCCCTGGGAGTTTAAGCAAAATCTGCCATACGGTTTAAGAGGATTTGCGTTCACAAGATTTCGGGACATACCGACGGACAGACGTACGTCTGGACAGATGTACCATCTTTTGATATTTAAGAGGCAAATCAGCTCATAAACTACACCTGGACGTAAGTCCATAAGCAAATTTAACTCATAAAAACAAAAAAATAGCTCTTATTTTGAATTTTATGAGTTTTTGTTCTTTATTTAACTATGGAATGAAGCTCATAAAAATAACAAATGTTTGCTCAGACGGACAGACGGACGGACAAGTGCAACGCTATATGCTCCCACTTTGTGGGGGCATTAAAATCAATGTTGATGTTGATGAGATGCACACTAGACATGGTCCCTAAATTTTGATGATATTGCACTAACAGTTTCTGAGGAGTAGTCCAGACAAACTTTTGTGTAGCGGCAACACAAAAAAAACAACCTTTTTTATTCAAGGGCAATAACTAAAAAATCATTCAAGCGAAAAACTTGTGTATTATATTATATACAAATACTTATGTACAAACATCATTGAACCGGAAAATGCTGACGATAATGCACAACTAGACTTGGTACTGATCATTCTTCTAAAGTTTGGATGAAATTGCACTAGTAGTTTATGAGGAGTAGTTCGGACAAGGTTTGTGATGGACAGACAGACGTACTTACGAAATGGTACTTATGTGACTTTTCATTTGATCTTTTCAGCCTTTTTAGTAACACAAGGCCTAAAAAAGACACACAAGTAAAAACGGAATGAATAGGAACAAAGGTAATGTATTGTTACCCATTGTTCTCCAAGTCACACAAGTACCTCTGGGTTTGTACGGACAGACAGACAGATGACGGAGAAGTGATCCCTGTATGTTGCCACCACTCTGTAGAGGCTACACAAAAAACACCTTTTTTCATTAAAGGGCCATAACTTGAGCAAGAACTTAACCAAAATGTGATGCAGACACCTGCCCGGTGAGAACAATTATCATAGTTCTCCCTATTCTTCAAACAGTCATGCCAAAAATTATCATTTATCACTTACATGTTTTATAATAAATCAATATTAAAGTAAAATGAAATTATTAACCCTTTAACTCATGTACAAGTATTTACCTGATAATTTGGTCTAGTAGTTTTTCCTGTTCCTTCACATCAATCTCCTCAACAGGGTAACAATCTGCTGTAGCTAAAAAAATAGATGTCATCGATAAAGTTATATTTGATATTTTTCACATACACATTTGAAAAAATAGATAATTTTGATTAATTCACCCAAAACGCATACAAAAGCAGGTGGCCATGTCTAACACCTAGCTGTTGTAACATAATGGACACATTTCATAGCAATGTTGACAAAATTGGTCAGAAAAAATCATCTGAAGGACATTTATAACGGAACACAACATATTCATTTTAAGAGAAAATGTATTTTACTAAAATCTTTCAAACATTTATGAAAGTGAATTATATAAAAGAGAAATTAGGAGTATTTATCCATATATCGGAGTATCAAAATATGTGTCATCCGATGTATCATCAATATGCTTTGCACTGAATCAATGACAGCTCTAATCATTATAAAACTACGTATTTAAAGGACAATTATCCTTCTTTATCTTTTTTGATCAGACTACATGTGTACATCAAACTGAATCATTGATTTTCACTTTTTCATACTTGATTTTACTGCTGTTAACCTTTTAGTCCCCATGAGCATATTGTGAAAAATGGCCGTTTTCATTGAAAAGCCTCCTGTAAGAATCTCAATCGTAAATTTCCTGTTTCCTGAGCCCGGTTTGAGCCGGGTGATGCTCCCCGAATAGGTTTTGGACACAGGAAAGTACACCTCTTGCAGTTTCAGAGTTATGTCCCTGGAAAAAGTTCAAAGTGCAATAATTCCAAAATTAGGCAAGGCAGAGTCACTGTTCTTTGCACTGCACTTCTAATCAATGTGATCTATCAACCTACAAAGTTTCTTGTTGATATTTCTTTTGGTTTCTGAGTTATGTCACGGACAACTTCAAAAAGTAAAAATAAACAAAGGGCAATAATTCCAGAATTAGGCAAGGCAGTGTTATGATTCTTGTGCCCTGCACATCTACCCATTGAGATATATCTACCTACAAAGTTTGATGTTGATATCTCTTATAGTTTTACAGCTATGTCCTGGACAAGATTTTTCTAAAAGGGGAGATAATTCAAAAATGAGGCTTAACAGAGTTATGGTTCTATTGCACTGCACTTCTACTCAATGAGATCTATCTACCTACAATGTTTCATCTTGATATCTCTTATAGTTTTAGAGTTAAGTTCAAAGTGTTAAAATCAACAAAGGGAAATAACTCCAAAATTAGGACAAAAAGAGTTATTGTTCTTATGCACTGCACATCTAACCATTGAGATCTATTCACCTACAAAGTTTCATGTTGATATCTCTTATAGTTTTAGAGTTATGTCCCGGACAAGATTTTCTATAAGGGGAGATAATTAAAAAACCGGGCAAAATAGAGTTATGGTTCTTTGACACTACGCTCCCCTTCAATGCCCTCTACCACTGTATGAAGTTTAAACAAATTATCTTCAAGGGTTTTCAAGTTATGCCCCGGACAAGACAACGGACGGACGGACGAACGGACGGACGGACAAAATTTTTCGGGGAGCATAAAAACAAGTGCTATGCAGCCAGTGGTCAACTTACGCAATGAAAATCCTCATGTATGAAAAAGACCATATTTATTGTGTTTGATTATAACATGGCCTTTCAAATAGAAAGACCTTGATTACAATGTTTACATAGTTATATAAAATTATTCATTTGTTAGCTCGACTTTTTTTTTTTTGAAAAAAAAAGTAAGAGGTATTGTTATAGTCAGGTCGGCGTTGCCGTTGCCGTACCAGTTGCCGTCCGAAAACTTGTACCTGGATCATAACTTTTTTATTTCTTGGTGTATTGTCTTCATACTTGGCCACAACAACCCTTGGGACAAGACCTTTCAGTAGACCACACTAACCTTGACCTTCATCCATAAATGACCTTGACCTTCAAGCGTTAAGAGTCCAATTTTTGCTTGTTCATGCTGTTATTGGCTGTTATTTTGTTATTTTTGAATGGATTGTCTTAAACTTGAAACATAATAATCTTCAAGGATATCCCTTAAAAAATGACCAGTCAGACCTTGACCTTCACTCATCAATGACCTTGACTTTGAAGGTCAAATTATTGAAATTTTTCATTTTTTTGGCTATTATTGGCTGTAACTTTGTTATTTTTTAAATTGGATTCTCTTCAAACTTGAACATAATAATCTTCAAAGATAACTGTTAAAAATATTCCGAAAGACCTTGACCTTCACTCATTAATGACATTGCCTTTGAAGGTCAAAATTATTGAAATTTTCATTGTTTTGCAGTAACTGACTGTAACTTTGCTATTTTTGAAGGGATAAACTTCATATTATAACAGAACATTCTTAAGGACCAGACCTTGTTGTTTATCAAACCCAAATTTGCTTGGCTCTTTTAATGACCTTGACCTTAAAGGTTATATTACTGAATTTTCTCAGATTGTGCATTTATTGGTGTGTGTGTATGTGTATAGTATATGTATGCTATTATTGCTTGTAACTTTGTTATTTTTGAATGGATTCTCTTCAAACTTGAACATAATAATCTTCAAAGATAAACTGTTAAAAATATTCCCGAAAAGACCTTTGACCTTCACTCATTAATGACATTGCCTTTGAAGGTCAAATTATTTAAATTTTCATTGTTTGCAGTAACTGACTGTAAACTTTCTATTTTTGAGGGATAAACTTCATATTATACAGAACATTTTTAAGACCAGACCTTGTTGTTTATCAAACCCAAATTTGCTTGGGCTCTTTAATGACCTTGACCTTAAAGGTTTTATTACTGAATTTTCTCAGATTGTGCATTTATTGGTGTGTGGGTATGTATAGGTATATGTATTATATATATATATATATATATAAATGTGTGTGTGTATATATATACATATATGCAGGTATAATAATATATAAATATATATATATATATATGCATGTATATAATATATATACATATATAGATATATATATTATATATATATATATATTTCAAATATATATATATCAAATATATATACACATATATATATATATGCATATATATATATATATATAATATATATATATATATGTGTATATATATATATATATATATATATATATATAAATTGCGTCATTGTTTTCTATTTTTAGAAATTGCATCATTTTTTTCTATTTTTTAGAAATTGCGTTCATTTTTTTTATCTTTTTTAGAAATTTGCGTCTTTTTTTTTATTTTTTAGAAATTGCGTCATTTTTTTTTCTAATTTTTTAGAAATTGCGTCATTGTTTTCTATTTTCAGAAATTGCGTCATTTTTTTATTTCTAGAAATTGCGTCATTTTTTTCTATTTTTAGAAATTGCGTCATTTTTTCCTATTTTAGAAATTTGCAATCATTGTTTCTATTTTTTAGAAAAATTGCGTCATTGTTGCTATTTTTTTAGCAAAATTGCGTCATTTTTTTTTTCTTTATTTTTAGAAATTGCGTCATTTTTTCTATTTTTAGAAAATTGCGTCCAAATTTTTTTCTATTTTTAGAAATTGCGGCATTGTTGCTATTTTTTAGAAATTGCGTCATTGGTTGCATTTTTTAGAAATTTGCATCAATTTTCTATTTTTAAAAGAAATTGCAATCATTGTTGCTAATTTTTAGAAATTGCTTTCATTTTTTTTATTTTTTGAAATTATGTCATTTCTTTCTATTTTTAGAAATTGCCGACAAATTTTTCTATTTTAGAAATATTGCGTCAGTTGCTATTTTTAAGAAATTGCATTACTGTTGCTATTTTAGAAATATGCTTAATGTTTCTTTCATATATATATACAAAATATATAAACAAAAACTATGTGACGAAGACAGACCAAGCGCTAAATTTTATAAAAAGGAAACGTCAATATATGTTCAAAAACCTTTCTATGTTTGCGAGTTTAGAAAAAGTAAAAAAGTCGAGACGTTGCCCCGCCCGGCGTGGCTCTTGTTTATGTAGATATAAGGTAACCAGAAATCATATGGATTCTGTTTCGCTTTTAAACGTCATCAACTTTTGTAATAAACTCGCCTCATATGCTCTATCCGTAAAATATGAAATAATACATTTGTGTTTGAAAAAGTATGAATAAAAGAAAATAATGCAGAAATTTTTGATAATATCGGCATGTCATAGATAACAAAAAAAAAACAACAACAAAAAACATGTAAGACAATGCGTCAAAACAAAATTTCTTGAATTTGTGGTACTTATAAGTGACTAAAGTTTTATTCTGAGTGGAACAGGCAATATTAAAACAAATTGATTTGACTGAATTTAGATGTGATTAATATAATTAATATCACTATGTGAAATATAATGAATTTGTGATGAATAGCTTTCTAGATAATCAGCATAAACCATGTTGACATTTAAGGCCCATGTGACCTTGACCTTTGACCTAGTGACCCAAAATTTTAAAGGGGTATCTACTATATATGACCAATCACTAAGTGAAATATGATGACTTTGTGATAAATAGTTTTCAGATAATCAGCAGAAACCATTTTGACATTTAAGGCCCATGTGACCTTGACCTTTGACCTAGTGACCCCTAAATCAATAGGGGTCATCTACTAGTTATGACCAATCACTATGTGTAATATGAAGACTTTGTGATGAATAGTTTTCAAGATAATCAGCAGAAACCATTTTGACATTTAAGGCCCATGTGACCTTGACCTTGTGACCCAAAAATCAATAGGGGTCATCTACTAGTTATGACCAATAACTATGTGAAATATGAAGACTTTGTGATAAATAGTGTTCAAGATAATCAGCAGAAATTGTGTGGTCTACCAACAGACAGACTGACCTACCTACCGACCGACATAAGCAAAACAAAATACCCCCTCTTCTTCAAAGGTGGGCATAATAAAGCAAGGAAGAGTTATTGTTCTTACACAATGCACTTACTCCCAATGTGCTCAGTCAGTGTATGAAGTTTGAAGAAAATCGCTCAGGTGCTTTGGAGTTATGCTCTGGACAAAATTGGAATGGCCTAGATGCACAGACCGAACCAAATGCAAAAGGACGACGCGAAATAAGGGACCTGTGCAGACCATTCTACTGATATCCCCTCAAACTTTCAACTATATTCATTTAAAATTTAAAACTTTAAAATATGGGTACTCTTAATCTTGGATAAAAAATTACCAACAAAAAACAAAAACAAAAAAAAAAAAACGAACACATAAAATATATGTCACTTAAAGAAACTACAAGTCAGTAACACAAATTTTTTAGCATTACACATATACATTTTTATAAAAGATTCACATTTTACAAAAATGTTTCTTATGTTTCTTATAAGCTGTGCTCAAATTATGAAGTTAGGAATAAAGAATGAGTAAATCAATTATCAAAATCTAATACCTTGATTTTTTGAAATGTCTGGTTGTGGAAAACTTGAAATGATTGGGCTTTTTGGTCTTTGCTGTTCTTCTTGGTAGTTTTCAGAAAATCTGTTTTCTCCCTGGTACGCTTGTGTGACTGGTTGTTGTTGAAGGGCAGATTTGAAGATTTGATCTTGACCATGAGTTGATGAAATAAAATTTTGCTGGGGCTGTTGGCTGCTTAAACTTGATGGAGTAGGTGGTTTGAAAACTTGTGGCTGTAAAGCGAGCCCTTGTTGCAGATGCTGCTGTTCTTGTGGCAAGGAGACAGGCTGACCATTCTGACTGGTTCCTTGGTCATATTGAGAAAGATTGTTAATATGCCCTTGTTGTCCATACTGCTACCTAGGCACATTAACTTGTTGCTGTCTAAATGGAAATGGTTGCTGTTGAGTATATACTTGCTGGTGTTGACTACTTGAAAACCGTGTTTGTGAATAGCTCTGTGACATCTGACTGACTGATGTATGACCAATTTGTTGACTTTGACTTGACATACCTTGTGCAATAAGATTTTGAGTAAAGTGTCTATTCACAGGTATTCCTGAATAAATTGGCATCTGTATTCCAGGTGCTGAAGAATGCTGGCCCAAAAGTTGACTATGCCAGAAATGACTTTGACTCAAAGAAGTATGAGGTTGTGTTACAATAAACTGAACTTGGGTAATTGGTACTTTTGTCAGAGTTGCCTGATCTTGGAAAACAGCTGGTACCTGATTCATTAATTGCCTTTGTTGACCTATTTGACCCTGAAAATGTGGATATTGCCGAAAAGCTTGCTGTGACTGACCTGGTAAATGTTGATCTTGATTAAACTGTACGGTTTGTCCTTGTCCATGAACATTTGCAATTTGTGATACACCCAGACTACCAGGTACACATTGTACTAGTTGATGTGGCAAATACATCTGTGCTTGGTGTGATAGTATATATCCTTGGTTTCCAAGATAAGGTGCTAAATAAACATTCTGGCCTTGATTTTGCCAAAATGTTAAATCTTGATTCTGAGCATAGAAATTCTGCTGATTTTGATACATAGCTGATTGCTTTGGTATATGTGTTGGCATGCTTTGACCTACACTGGGCTTTAGTGACCTTGAATTAACTGCTCTTTGACCCTGTGGTGAATGAGTTGACAGACAAGTCGCTGGTTTGTCTTTTTTCCATCTCTGATCTAATGGAACATAGTCAGATTGTGAGGATGGTGGTTGTGAAATATTTTTTTTTTATTTTTTTTTTTTATTTGAAACCACGTTTAAGGCCCGTTTATTTTACCATTTACAATATTTTACATAATACATTCATTTTACATTCATTTACATTTTTCAATTAATTATTTTACATAACATACATTACTAACTAATAATATATGTTTGTTAGTAGACATTTAAAAATAATTTCAAAGAGCTTATAAACGTGAAATCTCTTTAAGAAAAATTAAGAAAAAGGATAATATATTTTTACAACCAATATAAAGTTGTGTGTTAAATCAATTTTAAAGAATTTCTTGAGTCCCAGTTTGAAAAATGCTGAAAAATTTTGGGCAGGTGCTAAAAAATATAAAAAACTGTAGTAAACAAAAACATATTTTTCCACAAAACTACGATAAGATAAGAAAAGTAGATATTAAGAAATAAAGGCTGCTTTAGGTTAATATACTTCTGACATATCATCAATCAGTCTATAACATTATTAGAAAAGAAAGCTATTCCACTGCCTGTTGAAATCATCAGAGAATCATTTTGAATGCTATGTATTTTCTAAAGAATATTCTATCAAAATTCAATTTCTTATTGCAACACAAGATTATTGGTATTTTCTTCTTGTTGTTTTACAACTATATATATAATATTTGGCAAATAATAGAATATATGAATAAAATTTATTTCGTGATGAAAAAAGCACAAAAATTTTCTTGGGTGCAGTAATACCAATTTCAACCAACCATTAAACAAATTCATTCCAAAAGAAAATTGTGTTTGTTGGACCAGTTTCCAAAATATATGTTCTTATGCTATCTATTTCCATATTAAAAATCCACAAAGGCTAGACTCCATGATTTACATCTAAAGAGAAATTTGTTACGTTCGCATATTTTCTATGTAGGAAATCAAAATAAAAATTTGCAAATTTTATCCTGTACAAATATCCAACGCATTTAAAATATTTGTTGCCAAATTGAAATTTTATTCTTGGAAATTCTGCCTCCCATTTAACTGCGGATTTTAGTTTTTCATTCTGGTATTTTAGCCTTCTTTCTTTTGAACCTGTGTTAATTTTCTAAATTAAGAGATGTGGTTCTGTTTTTTCTAAAAGCTCATAAATTATTTATTTCCTCAGTTGTTACAGAAAAATGATATTTTCTAATTCTAATTTTCTTTTTCATTTGTTGGAATGAAGAGATAAGTTCTATGGTAATTAAAAAACTCAGTATTTAGGAATGTTATATTCCAGTTTTTAATTGACTAAAAGTTTTTAAATTTTTTTTGCGTTTGCTTATCATAGATATCTTTTACATGGTACATATTTTTGTCTCCACTGTCTGAAATAGAGAACCCGGGTTTGTAAGAAATTTTCCAGGCGTAAGCCTTGGAAAGAAGAGGCTGGTAAACCCCCTGGAAAACCCTATGGAAAAGCATGCGAATTTCATTGGAAATTCATGGAAAATTTGGTTATTTTTTTCCATGCTATGTGGACTTTTTTTGCATCCAGCCATTTCCAGCATTTTGCTGGAATAGGCTGAAAATTTGGCTGGACATTTGCTGGAAAAAGCCTGGAAAACCATGGACTTTACTTTCCATGTTGCATGGAAAGTGGAACTTAGATTTTTTTTTGATGCTTGGAAATGTGTTAAACTTCTTCTTAAGTATGCTTGGAAAAAAACTTGTTAAAAAAAATTACAGAAATCTTACTTTATATATTCAGCGCACAATATTTGTTAACTTACGAAGAAAATATACAATCATCATTTATTTTAATGCAAGTTTACTGTTAAATGATTTGAAATTTGACACCTTTATACTTTTTATGTTATTTTTGAAAAAGGGTATCTCATAAAAAAATGTATATGCTTAAAGACATAAATGCATTTGTGATTGCTTCAAATTACATATTATTTTTTAAATAAAATCTACTATTTGAATTATTGTACAATTTGAAATAATATCCATTTAATTACAGGCTTTAAGTTTAACTAGTAAATTAAAATTAAAAAGTCTGTGATTAAATCATTCAGACACTATAATAATCAAGATGATAGGGATTGATTTGATAGGATGAATTGGGCATTGCATTGCCATTTTTTTTAAATTTGTAAGAAATTCATGTTTTTGGATAACAATAAATAAATAAACAAAAAACAGTGCATGAAGAATCTCATTATATATTTCTATTATTAAATTGACCAATATTTAGGAAAATAAAATACTACATCCACTGAGATTTTACCGCCTACACAGATCAGAGCCTCTGATAAAACCATTGACCAGCTTTTTTCTAACCATCTGTGCATAAACAAATTTACCCCAAACTGGTCATTTCAGATCAGGCTTTTCCCATTTGATTATTTTGGGGAGAGATAACATTATAAATTTCATTTTGAAGAATGTGTTAGAAGGACTTTTGAAATTTTTTTTGAAACAAAAATTTTAATGATCTTTAAAATCTATTTTATAATTAGCTTTTTTCATATTTTTTTTCCCACGCCCCCAAAGAATAAATTTAAAAAATGATGAGGATTAACCCTGCTTTACATAATAAAGCCTTTTTCCTTTGATTTTAAACTGTTGAAAAATTTTAATTTTTTAAGATACTGGAGTCAGAAAAAGAGTGCATTAAAAATTAAAAAGGGGATTTACTTGATATTTTAGCATTTTTGGAGTTTATTGTTTTTTTTTAAAGATTTTTAAAGTTTTTAAAGTTTTGGTTTTATAACAATAGAATCACCTGGGAAAAAAGGAGATATACAACAAATCAGGGTATTTAAATAAACCTTAAGTTACATCAATGCAGAAAACCAGGTTATATATCAAAAACTATCAACATTTGTAAACAAGAGAATCAAGGTTGTCTTTTATTTTTCAACTTCATGCAAATTTTTTTTTTTCTGATAAAATTGTTTTTTAATCTATACATGTATAATCTTTAAAAATAAAAATTATTCAATGATTTTCTTTATAATGTAAATTGTTTAAAAAGTGACAATTGTTTAGTAGATCTTTTTTATTTCCTACAAATAAAACAAATTAAATCAATTTTGATTTTAAATAGGACTAAATGGTTACAAATCAGTAGTTTTGAACAGGCCTGAACCCCAGGTCTCAATCATAATCATTTTGTTATTTTCCATGTATGTGTTGTGTTTTCAATGGAAAAAATCTAAAATTACATTTTACATTATACAATTAACATAACTTTGGCAGGCTGGGACATAAGTGCCTGACTGTGAGAATTACCAACAGTGTTTAATAATGATGTTGCAGTATTAATCCTGAAAAGGTATATTTTTTTAAATCTCAATACGACTGTACTTTTTTATTTCCATGTCTTTTCTTGAAAAAATTAAAATACTGGGGTGATTATAAATATTGTTCACAAATTTACTTAATTTTATACATGCTTACAGAGAAATTCTTAAACACCCTTGTGCACTTTGAAATAAGAAATATACTGCATGCTTTAGTTTTTTTTGAATATGCATAAGCCATAGTTAATATTTAATAGTTAATACATTTTGAAACATTTTAGATTTGATGTTATTAAAAAGATACCAAATATAACTGGGAAAATATTTATATGGGAATAAAACATAAGTCATTACCCCCATTTTTGTGTTAAATTTAAATTTTGTTTTATCTTTTTAAAGGGTTTTAGCACAAAAACCAAAAAGAAGTCTAGGGGGGAAAATAAGGAGAGGGCTTTAAAATTTGGGCATCAATTTTAAGAAATAGTAATTTAAAAAAATCAGAAAAACTTGAAACAAATCTTTAAAATTTTAAAAAAGGGTTTTTAATTTGGGCAGATTTAAAAGCAAAAAAATTGCTAAAAATTTTAAGGGCAAAACCCGAACCTAGCTATCAAACCTGCCAAAACTAGAAAAAAACTGTTTTTGCTTTGGAATTTTTGGATGTTCTATTCCCGTTTTTGGACTAAAGGATATGTATTAAAATTTTTTTAAAGAAATATGTGAAACATGTTTAAAAATAATTAAAAAAATTTCCCCCCCCAAACATTTTCCCGTTTCTGAATTTCTTCAGAGAATTTTAAATTTTAAGAACATTCAGCGGATGCTGGAATTAGGCTGGATTTTTTTCCATGTTATTTTCCATCAAGGCTGGACTATTTACCATGGTAAAAAAAAGGTCCAGCCTCTATTTGCGTTGGCAGACAAAATTGGAATACCCTGGAAAAAAAATCCATACTTTTGTTCAATAACTCCATGTACATGGAAAAAACATGGAAAAAAGTCCATGCTTTTCCATGGAAAACATGGAAAATGTTTTCCATGCAGCATGGGAAAATGTTCCATGTTTTTTTCCCTGTTTTTTTCCAGCCCATTTTTTCTCAGGGTTCAGGCTGGAAAAGGCCTGGAAAAATTTTGGTTCCAATACTCCAGCCTCTTATTTTCCATGGAAATCCCTGGAAAGCATGACTTTTACACCCGGGAAGGCCCTTTGTTTTTTTTAGTTGGTTTAATTTTGCCAAATTAATTTGTTCTGAAAATTTTTCGGGATTTTCATTAAAATTGATTTAACTCCAAGCTACTAATACTTTCGGTATTAAATTTATTTTTGATTTTTAAAATTTCAATAATTCTTTTGTGTTGTTTATATTGGCCAATTTAAAATAAGAGATATTTTATCCACCTAAATGATTAATATTTTTCTTTTATTATTTCTTTCCACAACCCATTATTTGAATCGTTTATTATTCTTTTTATCCCAGTTTCGATTTTTTTTGAGTTCAAAAATATAGGGAATGTCAATCATTATTTTAGACCTCCGTTTTTGTACTCCTGTATTATCACATCCTGTTTAACTTTTATCCCTTTTTGAGGCTCCATATTAAA